TTGCCACTTATGGCCTGTTTCTTTACGATAACAGTTGATACTTTTAAATATGGAAGCAAGTTTACATGGACAGTATCTTCCAAGAAGCACAGATCCCTACAGATTAGTGCAGAAGACCATTAGGGAGAACACAGAACTTCGGATGTCGAATCTAGTATGCTGCACAAGCAATTCAGCTACACTAAAGAGCTAGCTGAAGTTGCATAAGACTCCTACCTGATCTTGTTGCCCAGAACTCTTTCAAAGTCCCAGCCAGTTTTTTCATGGTTATCCTCCCATTCTCGCAGCAGTTCATAAAATATATCCCTGTGAATCAAGATATTTAAGTGTATGAATTCCCACTCTTCAACATTTGAAGTAACAACAACTGAATATTCAATCGCTCCTAAGTTCCCCAGCAAGAATCTACCTCAGATTAAACAACTCAAGCCTCTAAGCATTCAGATACCTTTGCAAAACTCATTAATGTTAGCGGTACTTCAGCGAGTTTCCATTTTCCATGTCTTTGACAGCAAGTGCTTAAGCTTGTTATGCCCAAGCTCTGACGGAATGACCAAAACACCCATTACCAGACATACTGAAGACTGAGAGGCAGGAAAGAATAAGCCACATGAAATAATACCTATGAGGAGAGAAAAAAGGACCAAGACAACTTGCCATTCTCCCCTCACCCTGTTGCTGCAAGCATGGAGGGAGGTGGCAGGAAGAATAAAAGCATACCAGATTTATATGCAGAAGCAATCCGGTAGGGTGACACACTGTACTGGCATTTACCAGAAGTCTCAACAACTCCTGAAGAATTAGGCTGTTCTTCTCTAAAGACATTAAGCATTTAGCTCCTGCAGTCAATATGGACAAAGACTTTTTTTTTTTTTTTAATTAGAGTGAAAATCTCAAGATTTTTCTACAGCATGTAGCATGCATGAGGCGTTCTTAATATCCTTTGTTCACAGTCATGGAAAGATTATACCCTGTGACATATAGTAACAGTAGAAAAAACTTACCTTTGCTTCTTAAATATGTGAAATGCTCTGTCACTGGGAAAGTTAGAGCGATTGTCAGTTTCTGGCTGGAAAGAAACAGACTGTACAGAGCATGGCAGCAGGAGAGACACCTGTTAAAAATATAAAGGCAGCCATTAGACTCTAAGTCTCCAATTTATCCAACAATCCAAGACTTAGAAAAAGCAGGGAAAAGATGTGATGAGGAAACCAAGTATCACTAGTTGAGGTGCTCAGACACTAGCTGTTTCCCAACTGCTAACTGCTAGTAAACACCAACAGTTTTACAACCTACATTACACTACAGAGGCAGAATCACTCAACATTATCAGCGGAAGCATATAATCTCTCTAGGAAATCTCTACAGAACAGACTGCAACCATTATTGATACAGTGTGGAAAGAATGATCTGCAAATAGCCAAAGTATACCTTCAATAGAGGGCTCCAGAGAATGCGGGATAGCGGCTGGCAATTTCTGTATTAGTCGTCTTTCTCCTATTTGAAAAGCCCATGTCTTCAAGTAACAAGAGCCCAGCTTTAACTAAAAACCTCAGCTATTGACATGCCCTAGTCTCAGAAAGTACACTGTACTTTCTTTGCCAAGAGTAATTTCTATTTTTAAAAGATGGATGAAACAAGACGCGAAATACATTAAGAAAGGCATTCCTACCATCCAGTTCCCTAAGCCAGATGATTACATCAGGAAACCAGTTTTCGCAAGCTGTGCTGTCTCATCTGAAGCTTCACTTGCCTAAAAGAAGTCTGTAACTATGAAACAAATCCAATTCTTCCAAACTACATTCTGATATTGCATCTAACCAATCATTCTTCTAGGATCCATGTTTATTAGATGAGAATCTCAAACGTTAAACTTGACCCTGTCAAAGTCACCGGCTGAGGTCAGGGTCTGGAGCACAATGCAAGGCTAGCCAGCGGTGATTAACAGCTAACAATCACTGGACCTAGCAATTCACTCACCCACTGACAAGAAAAAAATGTAGCTTTTGGACACTTGCCAAAGACGACATGACAAGATACTCAAAGTAGAAGGAATGAGATTTAACATCAAAGCCATCACAAATAAAAAAGCAACAACACAAAGGTTTGAAGCAACGTCAGTTGAGGTTTGCCAATTTTTACCTTGGCTGTGCTGCTTTCATAAGCCTGCCTGAGCCTCTCGTGCAAGGTGGGAGAAAAAGATGCAATCCGTTCATTTTCAGCCAAAAGCTTCAGCATCCCCTTTTCTAAACGGCAAATAATTCTGCCAAGACAACATGGATAAAACCCAGACAGACAGACATGAAAAACACATGATTAGACCTATAAGAAATGCTTATGCTCATTTTTTTTGAGGCTACCAAGTAAAGCGTTCTAAGCCCCAGGCACCCAGCGCGAAATCCTACTGGTATCTGTAGGACCATTTTTTATTGCTCCCGTCTCATGACTTTCCCATTCTTGCATAATTACACTGAAGTTCAGCAGACAGAATAGTGCAAGGAAAACTTACAGACATCCAAATACAGGCCAAGTTGTGTGTTCTGAGGGAAAATTAACAACTCCATGCCTGTAAGTGGTAAAGCCCTAAAATCTAAGCATGCGTGCTTCATCTCACAGACATCTGCAGACACAAGCAGAGGAAAAAAAAAAAAAATTCAACTCACTCATACTGATAATCCAAGACTTGAACAGCAAAATAAACACAATTATGCACACTTCGGAAATGCTGTCTCCCTGATGCATCTAAGAGGGAAAAAAGAAACATGAGACAACAGCACCTATCACCATTTATAAACTAAAAGACCAACAATTCGCTCTCAAGGAAAGTAGGAACTGCCATATCCAAAAATAATCTTCCAGACCAGCATCCACTTTCCAGAAGCTGCCATTCCCTGCCACCTGAATAGACAAATCCTCTCATCCCTACCTTTAGTATAGTAAAGACAACTGAATTGTTTAATGCTGTATGGGAAAGAAAAAATTCCTTCTCAACATTCTGGCCAACAGTAAGCAGATCCAGGACAAAACGCAGACCAACTGCAACCAGTCATCAGCTGCTGTTCCCGTAGCTGGAGACTTCCGTGTTCCTAAGCTCAGCCCTAAGAATCAGTGAGTGGCAAAACAAAGGTCAATCAAACTGGGGCATCTAGAGGGCTGGCGTGTCTCATCTTAAAGCCACTCTTTTGGTTTTTATATCCATATCAAAGTACTAACTGCATCAAGCTTAAGTCTGAATTTGCCAAAAACCAAATGCAACAATTACACATCTATATGGATGCATCCTGTGCACTCATAACCCAATCTTACATTTAAGAAATACATAGCAGATCAACAGCACTTTTGAGTTGCAAGGACCAATGGAGGAGAGACTTTGGCATATTCGTCCTTCTCTCTGAGAGTCAGTGTGAGCCAGTACCCACAACAAATCTTACGCAATAGCAGAAAACTAGATCCAAACAGTATCTAGCAACTCCATTCTATCATATTGTGGAAGCATTTCCCGCACATGCATGACTTTTGTCAGCATCTCAGATGAGTCCTACAGCAGCAATAAGGTGCTTTTATGGAATTTAAGACTGTCCAAGCTAAAGGAAACTACTCGATATCACATTATCATTCCACGGAAGTAACATTCCTTCACGTCAATACTATTGTTTACCTTTACTTCTTTCCTTGACTTCAAGGTCACTATCGTCATCTTCTGCAGTAGAAGTGCCTTTAGATGTCAACAGCTGCAGAACAAAAAAGAGCTCCAGAAAAATATTTGGTACCAGGTTTTCTGGAAGAGAGGAAATGAGATACTAAAGGTGGATATCAGTATTGACCTGCTTTAATCAACAAAGGTAAAAAAGATATCTGTTCTATGGCACAGTCAGCAAAGGACTCCTCCCACACACACAGCCACAGCGTAAATTAATATGGGAATTATAGGAAAGATGTGTTAGGGAAGGGTCTGGTGTCAGACAGAGCCATACAACTTCAGCCTACTGCAGCTCAGAGTACTGCATCAGGCTCACTTCCTTCCCTAAACTTTTCACTAGTATCCGTTCATTCTAATAACTGTGTTGGCTTAGTTTATTTTTCCAGATGTTATTTGTTTGTACACTGTAACTGTCCCACAACTTTCGTTTCTCATCTACCTCTCCCTCACAACACACATGCAAGTTCAAAGCTCAAAGAAAGGTCAGTCTCACATCTTCTGGGTCTTCACCTGCTATACACGATGAATAGAGCTGTGCCAGACACTCCAACTGTTTCTTGCAGGAAACCTTAGTAGGATTTGCACAGGTAGCAGGAAGGCTAGCACTGCGAGTGTAGCTAGGCTTAGTAGGAGTACCAGGATCAAGAGACATCCCTGCAGGAGAGGACGCCTGGTGCAGCAATTTGCATCTGAAATTCAAGAGCAGCAACACACCATGTGACTGAAGAGGATACACCGCAGCCATGCAGCCAAATGAGGTCTTTCTCTTGCAGTCTAGCATGAAGGAATTCCTGCAATAACTAACCATGTCATTTACGCTGTCTAAAGCTGCTTTTAGCATGACAGTAATTTACCTCATCTTTCCCTTAATGAGAAAGGATCTTGGGGCTAACAATCAAGACTCAAAAGAACTACATTCAAATTCCAACTCTACTAAAATAGCATGGCGCTTTGACCAAATCATCTAACTAACCTATGTTATCGCTTCTCATCTAAACTGATACTTGTTAAAGACATGGAATCTGTTAGAGACCAGGTCCTAAAAAAGGTTTTGCATGTACAATTTCTGACAGCTAGACACTTCACAAAATGTATGAAAACAAGGTTCATATCCATACCTTCATATTTTTAAGTTAATGATGCCCTGAGTAGATCTAATACCACTAAGTCGAAAGGCAATGCATCAACTCATGAAATCCCATACTGGCAAGTTAAACGACAGAAGGAACAAACTAATTGCTGGGCTCTAAATCAACAATGATCACTCAGTTAAATACACAGATACTGAAAAAAAAAAACAAAAAAAAACCAAAAAAAAACCCCACAACAACAACAAAAAAACCATAACAAACCTACAGAGGTCATCCAAAATGCAGCAGTAGAGTGGTATACATAAGACACACGAGAAGGAGGAAAAAAGGCCAGTAACAGCAATATCAAATGATTGTTAAAGATCCCAATGGAACATCCACACTTGGAACATCACAGCACCTCTTACCACATTGTCTCAAAAGTAAAATCTTTAAAAGTCACTTTAAAGAATGTTTTTTAACTGCAGCAAAGAACATTTTCTATTGGCCTACTTCTAGTGGAACTGCTGTGATGAAGAACAAATTAGTCCCAAAACGGGAGTAGAAAGGTTATTTAATAACATCTTCCTTGCAATGAACATAAGCACCTGACTGACAGAACTGAAGAAATTTATTAAGCACTTTATAAACCCACCAAGGTAATACTCCAATAATGTTAGACTCTGCTTCACTTCTGCCTCAGTGTTGTCATCTATCTCAGCATGAATTTCACCTTTTGCCCTTGCTCAGAGTGAGCCAGTTAGCTGGGGGCTGCGTTAGTTTTGTACCTCGCTTCACCACCACTGCTGAGCATACAACAGCAGCTCCCCACTCCCAAGAGTGATGGGTCAGAGGAGACCACCTCATGAGCAAGATCCAGCCCACATACTGCTATATTTTACTCACTTTAGTTTATACAGATTAGTGGGACATTTCAGGTGGAATTCAGACTGTAATAGGTGTTTCACTGAAATGCAGAGAGGGAGGTTTGAATCTTGAGCAGTTCTGCTACGGGTCCGGTACAACAGTAACTCATGAGACTCTACTGGGTGTGTTCCAGACAGTTCCAGTCCCGCTGAAGTGAACCGCAAGGCTCAGCAAGAAAAGAATTCCACCTACATGTCCTGAGGAGTTTCCCCAAGAAGAAAATTTGCAAACAACAGCAACAGTTCTGTCAGCAATTATAAACAATAGTTTCTCTACTACTGTGCTTTGCCTTTTTTTCCTGAAGTATCAACCCTCACAGACTAATAGTGATGTAATTTACAGAAGATGAAAGTCACACAGTAACTGAACAGCAGAGACAAAATTAGAAGCTCAAGTTCACCTCATCTCCCAGCACACACAATTTTCAATAGATAACTGCAGTAGTAACTTTTAAAACAGAATCTCAGACTATCCCATGTCCTGTTTGCTCTGACTGTAAGCTTGTGCTAGTCTGCCTACCTTGCAAAATCATTAACACTTTTCCCACATTTGCATCATTAACTCATTTTCTTCAAACCAGACTATGCCTTCCATCACAGGTGCAATCTTCAAACACAGCCTAATTACACCAGCTCAAACCCACTCGCTTTGCCTGTGCAATCTAAGGAAAGCTGCACAGGAGACAGCCACGCATGCAAGCCCACAGAGGCAATCTTATGAAAGCAGTGAGGACCGACTAAACTTCTGAAGATAAAGTGAGGGTCATTGTTCCAGAGTCAGCACACCTCTAAAATGACAAACATTAGCTAGCTGCATTAATATCCTAGTCTGCTACCAGCACCACACTTGGTTTTAGGCAAATTATAGTTTCAGGTCAGCAATACCCGTTTTGGACACTCTTCTGGTCATTTCCACGCTGATACTGGTACCACCTTAAGATAAGAAAACTAAGAATATAATACAAGCCTATCAGCACCCTGCTCAGACTGTACCGTTCTTTCTTCAGCATTTCCCTCTCCTCTTGAAGGCTGTTGCTTATCACAGGTGTTAGGTTTCCTTCCTGGACAGCAGTAAAGGCCTCAAGGCTTGACCCAGATGAAAACCGAGCAGCTGGAGACTGGCTGACAGGCGTAGAAGTGAAGCACATCTTTGGTTTTGAGAGGGGGCGCTCAGCACTTACAGGAGTTGGGTTGATTCGCCTTGATGGTTTGCTTTTGCTGAAAAAGTGAGAAGCGATTCCACTGAAATCAAGCTAAACAACAACAAAAATTAGGTCTCAAGACAGATATGCATGCAACTCTTCTAGAAAAACCTCATGCTAAAATAAAATGGATATGGGAATTAGGATATTGAATTTCTAAACTGTATGTATAGTTGCTGACTTTATTCTGGTCACTGAATAAAAAGTCATGGAGCTACAGACTGCTAAAAACAGCCTGCTGACCCTTGCTGCAAAATCAATTATCAATCATCAAGCCACAGAACAGGTAACACAGTGCCACACAACTCTTCTAAACATTTCTAATTTGAGAGGACAGGATATGCCTCATTTTAGTAAGAAACTAATTCACCGGCAGTTTCTAACATGACCAGGAGAAAACAAAACAAAATCAAACCAATCAAGCTGCCGTTGTCTATCAGTAAGAGTCCAGGCTCCCAAGTTACCATAGGACCTCTAAGTTTAGGGAAACCCATCCTTCCTGCATGAACTACCTAGATTCGTCCTTCAGGAAGAGGCTCTGTAATGCAGTAAGAGACACACTGGAAATGAGATGCAGGAACATAAAGCATTACACTTCTCAAGGAAATGCTGGTTGCTACATATTAACTGCTATGGTATTCTCAAAATTGCTATAGCACTGGCTTCCAAACACCCCATGACCTCTTTCCTCACTCTTTTTCCTAGTTGGGCATAGTGCGATTGCAGAAGAGAGACTTACTGTCTATGCTTGAAACACACCTTATCTCCCTTGGCCAAAGCATCACCTAGAGCATCATCTAGACCCAGCACCTGGATCAGCTGTACAGTCCCACAGACCCATCCATTTTCAGCTGGAATTCTGCATGTCCAACTACGAAGTCACACTTTCAGAGACAAGTGTCTGATATATGCAGCAAACCAGCTGACATGAAAGCCTTACATTTGGTAAGGAAGATTTTAAAGAGTAAAATCTCAAAGAGAAAAGGACTGAGGCAACCACAACACAAACAGCTGCCCAGAAACTAAGTCAAAGTCACCAGGGAGACCCGGGCTTGCTGCAGACCAAAGAGAATACAGGCATCAGCTAGCTATTTTGTCCATGATCACACAGCACAAACGAAGCTGCACACTAACATCTGTTACCAGAAGCCGCAGAATGTCAATTCAAAAGCTTTTTTGCTAGCATCAGTAATGCTGAAGGGCCTTCCAGGACTGCTCTTCATTAGCAATTGCTATTGTGTTAAATGAGAAACGTGAAGAGCCAAGATAATGCTGACTTGTTAGAAAATGTAAGGACAAAGATGTGCTCAGCTTCGTATCAGCTGGTCTGTGCACCGGTAAGCTGCAGGCAGCATCACAAGTGAGAGGCTAAAGAGATGTCTTGGGTGAGTTCACAGAATGGAAACCTGACTACCTGTTGAAGTAATATTCCCCTACATGGCAACTGCGACAAAGCAGTTCTGACCAAGGAGCCCAGAAGCCAGCCCCCCAGTACCGTTTATTACAGCATCTTCTATATCTGGACACGCACAACAGGATGAGCTAGTCAAGGAACCGTAACCTGCAGCACAAACCAAATAAGACAGCAAGGCAGACTTGCTCTTACTTTGTCCAGCCAGAGGCAGCACCCATGGGTGGAAACTCCTCCAAGTTGTTAAGATTTAGCTGGCCGGGTGAGGATCTGGCAGAAACAAGAGGCACTTCACTCCGCTTCCTTCTCCCTCCACTCCACGATACGTTGTCATTCTTTCCATCTTCCTCTTCGGCAAGGGAACGCCCCAGATCCCGAGGTACCTGCCGGCCAGAGGCACCGACTGAGCTGTTGCCTTTCCTTCGGCCTCGTCTTGCTGGCAGGGCTTCAGGTGTGGCTGTAAGGAAGCTCCCCAAGCTGGCCTTCTGAGATGACCGCTTCTCACCGTGGTTAAGCACAGGGCTATACCCAAAGCTTGGGCTGCTACTTGAGACTGTGCTAGGGAAGTCACCACAAGGGCTAGACAGGTTTGACCCAGAAAAGGAAGAGCTGCTGGATGCCGCAGCAGGAGAAAAGCTGGTATCTGCAGTGCAGGTGGTCACCGAAGTCCTTTGGGAAAAGAGCTGCACTCGACTGCTGGTTGTGTGGCCTGCCCTCCTTTCCGATCCTGTCCTTTGGCTCCCATGGGCCTTGGAATTAGGAGTTTTAGCAGGCGTAGAGGGTCCATTAGTCAGGATCTGGCTGGTCTGCTCCCTTAAAAAATTTAGCAGAAAAGGCACAAAGTCTTTCTGAAGCAAACTAAGAGATACCAGCTTGTCATGGATGTGGTTCTCCTACAAGGAAAGAGGACAAAGCATTAATATAAAGGTGCTACCTAATCCTTTCTGTCCATATGTCCAGACTCATTCAAGCAGTAACTGTGATTGCAATACACAATAAAAAAACAGCGTGACTTGTCCAAGCAGGTCACTGCAATTCAAGGGACCTTAGCACTGGTCATAGATCTTGAAACTCAGCCTCCACACAAGCCATTTTGGCAGAAATTTTCGGATGGAGTCATTCACTTTGGGCTCCGACTGGGAAACAGTGGAACTGTTCCATGGAAAGATCAGTAATACTTCCTGAAGCTATGGCCAGGGAGAACTTGGAGCAGCTGGCACCCCTAAGTCCAACATTTCAAAGACATCGATACTGAAGCAGCTAATTCTAATAGAAAAGTCTAAGATCCGCAACTTCTCTGTCCCCTATTTGCCTGTGAAGGCCACCTGCTTCCACAGAGGGGAGCTGTAACAACAACTGTTGAAGCACTGAAGAGCCCTGCAGTGCCAAATACAAGACCAAAGCTGCTCTTCCATTTCAATTAAATAATTTTGCTCCCTTGAGACCTCACAGAGGTCTCTGCAACTTTAAGGTACATTAAGTTTATACTTAAGAAATTTTAAAAAATATCTCACCACAGACTCGGCACATTTAAAATCTAAACAGGTGGTGGTGATCTTACAAGGGTCAATCTAGACAAAAAAGACTTCATGTTACATGCACAGTTCAGTTTTGTACACTGGGTAAAATTTCTTTTGTTCCTAACACTGCACCAGGTTTCTGTTTCCTCTCAATGGGATTCAGCAACATTTGCAACAGCAACAGAAGAAGCTCTCACAGGCAGCAACTTATTCCTTACTAATAGTAAAATCAT